GATGTTTATGTGACTTTTCAGACTCTTTTCTCTGTTTTTGTTGCTTTTTATTGCAGGACGCTCAGAGTCGATTGGACGGGCTGAAAGCATCCGAGTCAGGTACGAAGGTCGCTCGCTCTGTTTTCGGACTGTGTCTGTTTTTATTGACGGTGTTTTTATTCTGGATTTCCTCGATGCAGACGAGCTGAGCGGGCGGGCCGAAGCTCCGGACCCGGCCGAGAGTCAGCTGACCAGCGATATGACGCTAGTCTGGTCTGACGGGGACGAGGACGTCACGGTACACAGCTGATCGTTTCACTACAAGAACACAGCTCGTCCACACAGACTGCAGATGAAGACGGGCGATGTCTTCATCTCTGTCACGTCGTCTTAAAAATGTCTTTTTTTGCTTTTTTGTTTTTCCTGCAGCCGACCGGCTCTCCCAGCCCCGTCTTCCCAGAGGAGACGTCCGTTCATCAGGCGGAGAGCCCGGCGGCCTCCCTGAACCATGTGGCTGCTTCTTCAGGGGCGACTGGATCAAACTGCAGGTACGAAACCTCACGTGTCAGCTGACAGGATCACGAGACTGAGGGGATGTTGACCTGTCTCACAGCCTACGTTACACCCACCCTCAGTCACCTGAGGCGGTTCATGCTCGTCCCAGCGCCTCCTCCCTGTCGAGGTTATCCAGGCAGAAGTCTTTCATGGCCTAGAAATACCCCGAGATCCCCCGAGAGGGACTGGGAAGCTTTGTGGACGGATAGATGGAAGTGTTTCCTTAGAAACAAAGGAGGCGTGGCCTGAATACAGTCAGCCTGTGGGTTTTGTGCACACGTTACTTGAATCCAGCTGTAACGTTTGCGCACACACAGACAGGACAGTGAAGTCCTGCTGCCGAACGAATCATGCAAACCAGTTTCCGTCTTCTCTCTCTGTCAGACGAACTTCACCTGAAACTTCTTCCAAGTCCGGCACAGAGGCGCCGCGGCCTGATCGCAGCAGGACGCTCTCCTCTGTCGGCTCTGGAGAGTCCACCGACTCCACCGCGGTTCACTACTACTGGGGCGTTCCCTTCTGCCCGCGAGGCCTCGACCCGGACACGTACACGCAGGTGGTCACGCTACAGATTACGATCATTTATAACGGACTCGTTTACACGTTTACAGCACAAACCCCGTAAACTGTTAGAAGACAGTCGTGGTTCTGACATCAGGACGACGCTTTGCTGCTTTCTTTTCCTTCATGCATGAAATTCTGCAAAAATAATTAGCGACTCTTTCAGTGATTAAATGTAGTTTTGGTCTTAGATGTGACAGAAATCAACATGGCCGATGTTTCAAATGTCTGCAAATAATCCCTGAAATGTTTACACAGTTTTTTTCTACTTGTGCAACTTTATGATGTCACAGAGGGGGGGTGTGGCTATTGTCAGTCAGAGAAGCCCGCCACCTGCTGTTTACGAGGGACAGCCAATCAGAACAAAGGGGCTGCAGAAGCCCCTGTTTAGGATTAAGAAGGATTATTTTCAGCTGTGAATCATGCAAAGCTGCTTTAATGAAGTGTCAAATTTATTTTATTGTGTAAAATAAATTTGTTTGTTTTTAAACTCTTAAAAATGTCAAAATCAAATCAAATCTGAGTCACTGTGAAATCAGTAACGTGAAGCGTGCGTTCACTCGTCCTTCCTGTCGCCGTTCAGGTGATCGTGGCTCAGATGGAGGTTTACGAGAAGAGTCTGAAACGGGCTCAGCGGCGTCTGCTGAGGAAGGCGGAGTGGGGCGAGGCCGTCCTGCCGCAAAC